AACTAGCCGCTTCTCCTAGTAGATTCGAGACCATAAGAAATACTAGGGTTTATTGTAGAGGAAAAGAGGAAAAAAGAGAGAGCCCCCGTCTATTTTCTCCCCTATTAATAAGGACGGGATCCCCTTTTTCTTCTAGGACTCCTACTTAAACTAAACTAACCAACCAAGACCTATCAATTGGTTTCCAAAATAAATTATATCAAGTCATAACCCCTCAAGATCTCCACTTCCGTGACTAATATGTAAAACCATGGGTTGCAATTGGCTTCTTGATCAATTGATAGATTGATCTCATGTCCAGCGAACTCTTGACTGTCTTATCAAATAAGACGTGGGCACGCTTAACAGATTGGAGTCTTCTGGACATAGATATTTAGAAGCATCACTTCGCATTTGACAGAGCGTGGGCACGCTTAACAAGACGTCTTCTGGAAAGTCGACTTTTAATGCGCATTTTACTTCATTCTCACCAACAATTCCTAAAAGCGACACCAAAATTCAAATATGAGTGAAATATATTGATTAACGTCATATTTTAGCAAAATAAATGGGAAAATATTCACCAATTATATGCACAATTAGCTACTTAACATTTACTAATAGTCGCGAGTATCCAATAACAATTGCAGGATAATCGCTCGACAAAAAAACACTGTTCATGGGCAATTCTCACTTTTATATTGTTAGGTAAATATCCATATTTAATCTATATATATAATTATTATAAAATTTTTCCTAATGACTATAAATTTAATGTATATATATTCATTTTTCCTAATAGCTCTAAATTATTCTAAATTGAAAAGCAATGTTGTATGCTATTTTTTTATTATTCTTTTAGTCAAACATGCAACATTAATTACATTGTTTCTTACATTAAAAAAATTAAAGTACTATAAATTTCAAAAACAATGTAATAATACATAATGTGAATTAATGATCTAATATTAGTGAGCAACATTTTACAAAAATATGAAAGAAAAATAATTGTTGTGATTATATTGATTAAATATTTTAATTTGTGCAAAAAAAAAAAAGAAAATAGGCCCATATTTAGGAACTTAGTGAGTAATAGAGATATACATAAATATAGACGAGTATCTTTATAATTACCTCACCCAAACCACATAATTTATACTTATCATACCACACAAAATGTCGACACTGCATTGTCCTAATTATAGTATTTTATTAACCATTATATTACAAAATATCCTCCATACTTCACAAACTATTAACACTAATTCATCCAACCAATTTACCGCACTATGATTCTATAATTCAAGCAAGACTTATAATAATTATATAATTCTCTACATTATAACAAATATATAACGGCTAAAAATTAAACAACTTAACGCGAGAAATATTAGTACTCCTGCGCAACGCGCAGGCCGTCTCACTAGTAATATATAATGCTGCAGTCTGCACCCCTCTGTGCCTAAATAAAAATTACGCCTTATCTTTATCTCTAATGAAAAGTGATGAAAGATAGCGCCTTTAGGCATATTATTAGATAAGGCGTGGTTTTTCTGTTGGCTTATTCTCACTTAAACTAGCAAAAGCTGACGGAGGGCGTTGATCGATTTTCCTAGCAAGGGAAAGATTATTAACTATGGTAAGAAATCAACAAATTAGCCCTTCTTGATTAAACACCAATACATTCCAAAAAGAAGGCAAGATGCATTCCTATAAATATTTGCAGAGTGTTCATTTCATCCATGACCACAGCGTATTTCATTTCTATTATGCTAGAGAAACACTCTTTTTAACTTCCTTTTGATTCTTTGTAGCAGGGAAATCTTGTAATTTTTTAGCTACAAAAATCGACCTTAAAATTCAGTTATCTTGTGATTACATTATGTCAATATAGAGGCAATCTTTATTGATCCTTTCAAATGAAAAAAAAAAGGAAGAAGAATCCTTGTATTAATCATGTGTAATGATTGCCTCCAAACTCCGACTATAAAAGACCCATCAGCAATCTTCTCCTTTCCTTTCTATTGCACAATAGGCAACTTTAACCAGTGAAGTAGAGATAAAAAAAGAAAAATATCTCAACAGAAAATGGCAGCTGGAACAGAAAGTATTGTTAAGTATGGGATTATTGGAGTTGGAATGATGGGAAGAGAACATCTAGTCAACTTGTATCATCTCAGAAGCCAAGGGGTTGCTGTTGTATGCATTGCTGATCCACATGTCCCTTCTCAACAACTTGCTCTAAGTGTAGCAGAATCTTTTAATTGGCCACTCCAGGTAAAAAAAAAAAAAATTTGTTTGTTCAATGACATATGTTTAAAAACGAAGTATTTATCTGTTTTAAATTTGTGGGTTTTGTTAGTAAAGAAAGCAGGAAGTGGTTGTTGCGTTGATGATTTTCCACTTTTTTTTTTGAAGGTTTTTTCAGGGCATAAGCAGATGCTGGATAGCGGCCTCTGCGATGTAGTGGTGGTTTCTACTCCAAATATGACTCACTTTGAGATTTTGATGGATATTCTTAATTATCCGAAACCCCATCATGTGTTAGTGGAGAAGCCTTTGTGCACAACTGTTGCAGATTGCAGAAGGGTCAGGCACCCCATATGCTGAGTAACTTTATTATCTTTCCTTCTTTTTTGGCTTCAATTGACTAGTTTGACTAGTTAGGATTCTATAGGGAAGGGCAAAAGATAAGCTTTTGAGTTTTCAGAGAATGCGTTCATTTATGAACATACCTTTCTGCATTCATCCCATTGTGTGATGGAAGGTTCCATTCCTTTGACAAAGTTTGCTAGTCCCTTTTACTGCTAATTTTTTCGTTTCATAGTTTGTAATTTGGCAAAGCACACACTAAACAAAACTAGGGGAAGCTACTTCGATTTTGAGTTATGTCAGCGAAGAAACATTTTGACACAACACCTATCAATCTGTCTGAATCTCTATGTATGACTTGGAGATGCATAAGTGAAACTCCAGTCTGTTTCCATGGTATAATTATCTTCAACTTTACCAGTCTCTCAGGGCATTGCTTCAGAATTGTATCCCGTTCACAAGCTTTTGCTCTTAATAACTGGTGACTGTAATTTATTTCTTTGGATCTCCCACGAATATGTTATCTTTTGCATGCTTAATCCCATTTTCTATGTTTATAGATGTTTGGTGTTAATATAAAGGATTCTAATATCACTGAATCAGGTTGTGGAAGCTGCCAAGAGAAGACCAGATATGCTGGTACAAGTTGGGCTTGAGTACAGGTACATGGCACCTGTTGCTAAACTGATAGATATAGTCAAATGTGGAACGCTAGGGCAAGTCAAGATGGTGGCTATCAGAGAGCATCGATTTCCCTTTCTTGTTAAGGTAGATAAGGCATGATTTTGTATTGGTTTGGCATCCATTGAGTTGTTAAGACATGCTTGTTGTAGGTGAATAACTGGAACCGGTTCAACTGTAATTCTGGTGGTACTTTGGTAGAGAAATGCTGCCACTTTTTTGATCTGATGAGGCTATTTGCCGGTGCTAATCCTGTTCGTGTAATGGCATCTGGAGCCATTGATGTTAATCACAAAGATGAAATCTATGATGGAAAGGTTAGATTTTTTGTGGAATTCTCTACTCCATGGTCCACATACACAGAAACTGGATACAGTAGCTGGAACTGTGCAGCAGTGTACTGTGGGCAATATAATCCATGTCAAGTTTGTGCTGCAGATTTACATTGACTAAATACCTCATTTTCACAAAGTTCTAGTTAGTTGTGACGCTTCAAAGTTCTCCTATGATCCATTTAGGTTTTGGATATGGTACCTTTTCTCATAGTCTGGATGAAATTTCTTTATGTTTGGTTGTAGTAATCAATAATCTTCGCTACATATTAGTTTGGGTTATGATTAACTCAATGGGTGACAGATAGCAAATTGAAATGGGAAAACAACTTATTAGAGGAAACTTAACTCTGATAGGTCACATTTTTATGTGTTTTTATATTATGTACTCTTGTTACTTGTGATCATGTGACTCAAGAGTTCTCCTTTCCTTGTGTTGGGTTCAGGTTCCTGACATCATTGATAATGCTTATGTAATCGTTGAGTTCGACAATGGTTCTCGTGGCATGCTTGACCTTTGTATGTTTGCTGAAGGGAGCAAGAATGAACAAGAGATATCTGTTGTTGGTGACGGTGGGAAGGTAAATGTCCTCCTAGCTTATCCTGTCTCCCTCCTTATGCAAGTAAGAGCTACATGTATTATGAACATGTTCTCCATAATGTAAATGCTGCAATTATGAAGAACTGCAGCATTAATTTGCATTTTCCTCTGTCATCATTGCTTCTCATTCTGTAATCACTGTAGCGGAAAATTGGAGATGAATGACATGTCATTGGTAGTACAGAAACTAGTTTACATTTTTCTCAGAATGTGTTTCCTATTCTATGTAGGATTCTGTGTTTCTGATATAACTCAAATTAGTGTTGCATCTGTTTCATTTCTTACTATATATTCTAGGGTGAGGCCTTTGTTCCAGAAGGCATTGTACGCTGGGGCACTCGAGTTGGGGGAAGGGAAGGTGTACAAACCTTACAAGCCTCAGATGATCGAATACAGTGAGTCTCTCTCCTTGTATTGTATGCCTTCTCGTTTAAGTCAGCTAGTATGGCTGCTGATCTGCAAACCTATAGTATTTTACCTCACATAAATTTGCTCATCAGATATGATGGACTGCATCATGGTTCCAGCTATTTGGAACATCTGAACTTTTTGTCTGCGGTCAGAGCTAAAGGGGCACAAGCTCCTGCTGTGAATCTGCATGATGGATTGATTTCGGTAGCTATTGGAGTTGCAGGACAACTATCGATTGAGAAAGGTCGATTTGCTACGATCGAGGAAGTCATAAATGAATAAACTCGAGTCTTCAACTTGTGTCCTCTAATACCAGCTAATGTGTCTTATTATTCTCATTTTACACTACCTAAAGATGCATGTAAAATACAATCAATCGACCAACCGGAGCAGCTTGTATTTGATTTTTTTTTTTTTGTCGCAATGATAACATTTCTATAACCTAATCTAAGGGAGAGAGAGCCGATGGAAGTTGAATCACCACCGGTTGGAGAAAGCCACTGAAGGCAGCCACATACAGTGGCAAATTGGTAAGTTCATTGTGGTATATTTGATCTTGAATGTCTGCAGTTGGCTAAAACAGTTATACCATCACAAACTACCTTCAATGCTAAACAGATAAACTTTGTGAGACTGGAAATTTCAGATTATTAGTGGTGAGGGCGAATGGAAAATGATAACACGGAAAAGTGAAAACAGTTATCTCAAGAAAAGAGGATGTGTGTCTGCGTTAACCATCAAAGGTAGGCCATGCAGATCCATGGTAATGACTGATCATAATGATAAAAGCTTTTATACCATGGTGGGCAGAAGCAATGGTGTCTGTCACCCAGCTTAGACTTCAACTCATGATTAAGAAGAATTCCAAGCCTTCTAATTTCTGCAAGGTGGTGAAGTAAAAGCACTCCAGTTTCCGTGGAGATGCGACTGCTCCCAAATGCATCGTCCATTTCTCCAACCTTCACTAGCAAACAATTGAGAGTTGAGAAAATACAATGGCCTTGTTCTCGAATGCTTTTAATTGTGTAAAAGTTGGTTTTAGAAAATCAAAATAAAAAAGCACCAAAATAGTTGCTCTGGATTTTTAGCTTTTTTTAGACTAAAAAAAAATTTCAAAACTCAGGATTTAAACATGAGAACACAACACAATAAATTTTTCAAAATCAGAATCTATAATTAGGTTTTGAAAATCAATTGAGAATAAGGCCAAGAAATCAAAACGAAGTATGATACTTTAGAAACCAGCCCTCAGGGGCTTGGTCTGGTGGTTGAGGTTGCTGAAGATGGAGCCTCAGGTCCCTGGTTCGAACCTTGCTGCCAGCAAGTTGCTGAGGGTGGTGAATAGTCTGCGGGGTCCACTCCCTGCGGGACACACCTAAAAAAAAAAAAAAAAAACCAATTAAGCTTAACCCACTAAGAAATAACAACCAATGAGTAGAATAATTATCAATAATGCATGAAATTGTTTGCAAATTTTTTTAATATTCAATAAAAATGTTTCTAATAATTTTTTATTTTTTAACCATCCTTTCAAAAATTTTTTGAGAATAAATAATATAAAAAAGAAATATAAACAATATTTATAAGCATCAATCAATCAAGGAGGAGTACGATGCCGTTTCCTCCATCCATCCATTTCCGGTCAGTGTTTCCAAATGTTGGATGCAGAACTTTTGCGCATATAAATTGGCGCGGGTTTCAAAATACATCATTTAAAATACCTCCGTCCCGCCCCTCCCCTTCCCTTCTCTCTCTCAATCCCCTTTTCAAATTGTTACAGTGTACCCTACCGCGTTCAAATGGAAGACATAGACGATGCCGGAGAGAAGTCAAGCTTCGTCGTCGGCCTCATCGAGAACAGAGCCAAGGAGGTTTTATCGATACATATTTCACTTTGCGATTTTCCGGTTTAACTGAAACCCGTAAAATGCATGTTTGAATACCAACAGAAACATGAATGTGAAATTTTCGAAAAATTTATACCAAGTATCTACTTGAATTCCACTGATCACATCTCAAAATTTCCTTTTTTCGTATTTTGCGCTCCTGAATTCATCTGAATGTGTTAGCGATGATATTAGTTTGGTGAATTTTTCCTGAGGAAATATTTCTCGTTGTACGATGTATATATGCTGCTAAAAATCGCATCGCTTTTCCTTTTGCAATACGCTCTCGTGTTTGTAAAACCTACACGGATGTATCTGAATCGTTTGGTGTCGGATTTTGTAGATACACGTAACACGTAAATACAAATTTATTAGTGTTCAATTGTGTGGATTACCTGTAAACTTAATAGTACATCTCTAATACGGTGATGGTTAAAGCTGCCATAAAATCTGTTTCTCAATAAATTAAGTTGAATTATTGATCTTCTATTAGAGACACGTTTTCTAATTGCTGGGAACAATTCTAAACACAAAAATGGAATTTTTTTTTTTTGAGGGTATTGCAACCTTCGATCTCAGTATAAATCATAATACATTTGATTTATGCTTTGACATTTTATACTGAGATATAATTTTCAACCATGACCTGATTTTGTATACCTTCCCCATTGTTTTGTTTCCAAAGATGTTCGTTTCAGTTTATATTTACAGGTTTGACAACAAAAGAGAGTTTCAATATGATCATATAGTAGTATCAACTTTAAAAAAATTCATTCTGTTAATCTTATCCAGAGGAAGACAGAGAATACACCTGCTAATAATTATGATCTTGCCAGCTGAATTCATTTAGTGACTAATGCTGAAAATTATCATGCCTAATTGGCTGTAGTAATCTTATATCTAGGTTGGAGTGGCTGCTATTGACTTGAGGTCTGCTTCTCTGCATCTCTCTCAGTACATCGAGACAAGTAGCTCCTACCAGAATACAAAGACCATGCTGCAGTTCTACGATCCTATGGTCATTATTGTTCCTCCAAATAAGCTGGCAGCTGATGGTATGGTTGGTATCTCAGAATTGTTGATAAATTTTGTACATCAACAAGAAAGGTATGACCCCTGTCTCCATGTTTATAGAAGTGTGTTTGTTTGCTTGACAGAAACTCCATATTTTTAATGTCCAAGGACATAACAGTATCTGCTTATTCTGATGGCACAGGTTATAGTGTCTCGAAGTTACTTTGATGACACCAGGGTAGTTCTTAGACTCTCTTTTCTCAATTACCTAGTTAATTTTGGATTATAAGTATATTTCCAACCACTTTGGAGAAATATTCCAGGGGCTGTGCTGGTAAAAAATTTAGCTGCCAAAGAACCATCTGCTCTTGGTTTGGATACCTACTACAAACAATATTATCTTTGCTTGGGTGCAGCTGCTGCGACTGTCAAATGGTACTAAAGTTTTATTTACTGCTTCTAGTGATGCTTGAAATGTCTATTCCACAAGCATGAACTGTGCTGTTGTTGCTGGCATCTGATGTCCTCTTAGTTATTAATATACAATGAATCTAGCAGATCTATGACCATGAACATGACTTCATTGATTATTGATCTTTAAATTTGTTGCAACTAATGCACCTTTACTTACAGTCTTGTACCTGGGAGGATTTGTGATAAAGTAAACTTTCACTCTTGTGGTGAACTTGAGATGGTTGTAGAGCTGATCTTGAATTGTACTGTAAAATATACAACAAATACGGTAAAGTAGCAAGGAGCTAACATAGTTCAAGAGGAGACATAAGATATTGGTGTTTGGCATTTCATGTATTCTGTTTCCACAGATTTCCATGGCACATGTCTTGTTATGAGTTAAGCCCTTGGCATTTTGATGATGTCCTGTAGTCATGAATGCCTTTTAAGCCTTTTCTTTTTGTTGTAGGTAAGGTAAAATTGTTTCTGAGAAATGGTTTGCTTCAATTTTATGCAGGACTGAAGCAGAAAGGGAGTGATCATCACAAACCACTCATTGTCAGTATGTATTTTGTTTATTATCTGCAATGAAATATGAGCAGTAGATGCTACCATTGGGAAAATATTCTAGCAAATTGCAGAATGAATAAAATTACAGAAATTCTGGACCTTTGACTTCTTCTCCTAACCAAACTTAGATAGTTGTGAAGAATCAGAATCAGTAATGATCCAGTTCATATGTGGTATTCTCTGCCATAATCTGCATGAGAGGTTATCTTACATTTATGCATTCGAACACATTAGTGGTCTTGGTGGTTCTCACAAATATGTTAGTGAAGCAATGATTGCTTACCATGTCAGAGAAGGTTGATTGAAGCAGGAGACCATATATAAAGATTAGATAAATGGTTCTTTTACAGATATGATTATGTCATTTGAAGTTATTGTGGAGCCTAGTTGCATATCTGAAGTAACATGTTTTCTTGGTTTAGTATGTTTTACATTGGTGATGTTATGGGTCTGCTTTCATGATTCCTGCAAATTTGGCGTGCTCAAGTTCTGTTGAAATCAAAGGCACTTTGTTAAGCTTTGGTGTCCCATATAGAAAGAGGAGATTGAGTTTTAGATGTAAAAATATTACATCTATTCTACAATCACAGTCAATTTCAGTGTCTTGTAATGTCCTCAGTCTTTTTGCTTTATGGCCAGAAATTATCCTAACCGTGGATTTTCCATTTCTCAGGTTACCTTTAATGGATCATTTGGTCACATGAATATTGACACGACTAGGTCATTTTCTTAACTGGATGTTGGACAATTCTTTTTTATGACAATTTGTATCTATGCATTCCATACACATGCAATTCGTACATAGAGCTGTTTATATGCATATTTTCCCTATCTGAATATGGTGTAGAGGTTATTGAAGGAGATAATCAGCATGTTTCCATTTAAATTTAAGATTGTCAAGCTCAAAAGTGCTGCATTTCTGTACAACGTGTTTTATTTCTTTACTGATGACAGTGTCCAGAATTTGGAAATCATTGAGCCTCTGCAGTCCACCCTCTGTGGTACAAACAACAGAAAGAGAAGCTTGTTTCAGATGCTAAAGGCAACAAGAATAGTTGGAGGGTATGTTTATTACCTGGTCTCCAAGTGTTAAAGAATTCATGTTTAACTAGTGCTTATCAAGGAAGTCCCTAGCTTTGACATGAGCAAGTGGTTGTACTGCCTCTCTCTCTCTCTCTCTTTCTCTCTCTCTCTCTCTATTTTTCCAGTATTATGGGAAGAAAAATTGTATATTAGTCTCAGTAGCTTGTTGTTTGCTTAGGTGGAAATGTCAATTCACAGAGGTAAAAGAATTTGCTGTTGTTTTTTAAACTATCTATGCTGCATACTTAAACTTAAATTGATTACAGAACCTCTAACATTCAAGTATGCTACTAGGTTTGTTGGCTACAACAAGGGACGCTTTTATGTACCATTGCTAATTTTAGATATTATTCACCTTGGATCATGCTTTCAGGTTTAACATGACTGGATTTCTTGATATCTTTTTCGCAGGACTAGACTTCTGCGAGCCAATCTTTTGCAGCCTCTGGATAATATGCTCGACTTTGATTGCCTGGTCAGTATCCACAAAGTCCATTAAACAAAAACAAGAATGGATGCTATCCACTATTTTTTATAGTCAATAAACATGAGTTGGACAAGTTCTGTAACTTCAAATAAAAGAAAGGTATAACCATTTGGTATAAATCCTTTAATAAATGTTTTTGCTGAAGCACATTATTTTTTTCATTTTTTTGGCAATAATGCTGTCTTGTGATGTAAGGCCATATTTTCGTGTTTCTGGTTGGGCATATACTAAGAAGCAAGAATATAGTGATTGAGAAAGGTCTTTTGAGCAATTTGAACAGTAATGAATCTCAAAAATTGAAACAAGAAATTCTCAAATGTATTACAAGTCTATGCTATTAAATTAGTAGTCATCTTCTAGATGCTGGAAACGTGACACAGATAATGGTATTGCTGGCATATTGTAAGAGCCTTGTAGAATTGATTAGTTAAATGGGCTGGAATGCAATCTTTAGAAATCTCCATTTCATGAATGCGTTATATGAACTAGTGATTAAGGCGCACACAATGGGTGTGTAAATAATAATTATTGTATTATTTGTAAAATGAGTTTCATAAAAATTCATTCATTGAAAATAAATTTGTTAATGAATTCTATGAAAATAAGAATCTATAGATGAGTAGTTTTTTAGTAGTTACCTATAAATAGGGGTAGTTACTAAAATGAATAACAATTCTATTAAAATAAGAAAAAAAGAAATATTTTGAGTATGGCTAGACCATTTTCCCTTTATTGCAAGGGTAAAAAGCAGTTCAAAGAGTGTCAAAAAGGTTGACCCATAAGGAGCTCATGCCATATATAAATAAAATGTTGAAAAATTTCCTAACTGGTAGGATGTTGCTCTTACATCAGTAGCATGGTAGAATCAGTAATTGTTGTCCACTCACATAGAAGAT